TTATTTTATGTGACCGAATGTAGAAGGTAGAGTTCCGTGCGCTGAAATGGCCTGAGAGGAATTTCTCTACGAAAAAAATAACAAAAAAAAAAGTTTGGACGGCTGTCCTATTTATATGTTTCGAATTTAATAGAATAGACTGTTGTCTTGGCCCGAGTGATGCCATTTTTTTGCTCTTTGCGACGAAGGAGACGCAAAACCCAACTTGATTGAATCTCTATTCTCGCGTAGCACGGTATGCGTGTTTTGTATGTAACACGAAAAGCAAAGCTCACATTGCGTTCTCAGTTGTAACCTTGTTTATAAATAATAATAATAATAAAAAAAAAAATAAAAAATAAAAAAAAAAAACTAAAAAATAATTCAGTTGCTGAACCAAAGGTATGCATTAGATCACTTATATGAATGGATTAGAAAAAACAGAATATATATATTAGGAAAGTACAGAAATTCTAAAGGCTTATTTGCTCAGGGAATTTTTCTCCAGGCTTTGCCTTGCAACTTGCATGAACGTGTTAACATATGAATCAATATGTATGTGGTAATATATATTTTTAATTAATAAATATTTTAATGCATATATTTATTATATTTAATATAATATTATTAATAATATAAATGTCCTACGTGTAAATTTTTAGATTAAAATATATTTATATATTTTTTATTTTTGTGCAAAATTCTTTTCTTCTTTAGAGTAATTATTATGATAAACTTTTCATCTGAATTTATCAAATTGACATTCACATTTTTAATAATTATACCTACTACAACTTGACCTAGTAGTTTCTGGCTTCAACACTATTTTATGTTGCACGTTTTAAAAATCACGTGTCTTGTTATTTTTCATGACAATTTAGGACGCCAAAAAACTCTTTGTATAATACATAATAAACTATGTAAATAATTAGTTTTATCAGCAACTACCAATCCCAAAATATTCCAAGATATTTCGTGAAATTCTAAATCATCTCTAAAAATTTCATATAAATCTTTTGGTTTTAAAGGACAATCTTTTAATTTATCAGCATCATTGTCATTATCATCAACATAGTTATCATCATCGTCATCATCATAATTATAATCATCTACATTGTTGTCGTCAACATCTTGCACCTTTCCTTCCTCTAGTACTTTATTATTGTTGTTGTTTTTATATCCTTCTTCTGAACCTGCATCTGATGATACAATTGCAAATCGATACTTATCACGAATCTCATCATATGAAATCTCATATCTATATACAATTGTTAATTTATAAACATGTATGTATTAACAAATCAATAAAATACATAGATATATGTAATTGTAAAATTTTCAATTAGGCTTTAAATTATTATTACTCACGTTTCATCATCATTTTCTAAATACATAACCTCTACACGTAGTTTATTTTTCAAGTAATTGCTATCTGACACCAAATTTTGAGAGTATTTATAACTATTTAAGTTATATTTATTAAATATATTAGATTTTATCCATATATATATATATATAACATTTTATAATTATGCTTTCCTTACCATGGGTCTCCATGCTTATTAAAAACAACCAAATCATTTGTTTTCTTTCCAGATTTTCTGGAAGATTCCTTAATTAATTTCTTACCCTTTGTATTATTGTAAGTTTTTTTTAGATGTAGATGTAGATTTTTATTTTTTTCCCTTTTTAATGCTCCAATCATTTCATTATGCTAATAATAAAAATAATTTAATATATATATATATATATATATATATATGTAAACATATAAGTTTAACAAATTCTATTGGTTTAATTGCTTACTCTCATCTTTTCAACTTTTTCAATTTTATAGCTGACACCATCATGATTTCCCCAAGCTCTACTTTTATAATTGTTTCTTGTTGATTTTGGGTATTGAGATAGTTTTGGACAGACACGAATAGTCACACATAGGTCATAATCTGGATAATCAGGAATAGATTTGAAATTATATTGAATTGGAATATAATTTCCTGTATGTATAAGTACTTATATTATCATAAGAAGAAGAAGAAAGGAGAAGAAAAAAAAAAAAAAAACAAGAATTTATTAGTTGTTTCCTAGGTGTAGCCAAGGTATTAATTCCACAATCCATCCATCCACCCATTCACCCAATATACCTGCTACAATATCAGAATCATCAGTATATATGTCAGTGCCCCATAAAAACCTTTTTCTGACTTTTAAATTTTCCCAAGATAAATGTTTAGCCGATATCCAAACTTCCAATAAACTATTTACATTAAATTCCAAAGGTGGAAGAATTTCTTTAGGGCTATAAACTAATTGACCTATTTTTATCAACATGTATGTTAGTTGTGAATTTTAAAATTTTAAATTAAAATGGAAGAAAAATTTTACTTTACCTAAATGATGATGATGCTCTTTCTTGACAATTTTCTTATGTTTATTTTTCATCTTTTTTATTTTTTTATTATGATTATTACCAATAGATTTATTAACAATTTCATTTTTATCATTAATAATAATTTCTTCCATTACTTCATCACTTTCAGCAACTTTATTATTGTCATCATTTTGATGACAATCATTCTTATTATCATCATTTTGATGACAATCATTCTTATTATCATAATGATACAAGCTACTATTATCAATATCCTTAATATTATTAGTATTGTTATTGTGTGATTCAAGGTCCGTGTTTCTTCTTCTTTCATCTAAAAACTGTGTTAAAGATGATAGAGACGGAATTGACACTGGTGATGATCTAGTAAGTGGAGGGTGTAACAATATTGATGATGATGATGATGACGATGACGAAGTTGTTGGAAATTGATCATTACTATAACTACTACTACTGTTATTAGAAAGTATCGCAGAAACAGACATACGATTTGAAGTTAAAGAGTCTATTAAATTGTTGCTATTTGTGGCAGAATAATGACGTTGGGGGAATATGAAATTGTTAAGGCTATTATGACCCAAACTTTCAATAGATGGCAGCTCAACTCTATTATTATTATTATTATTATTTAGTGCAAGAGATGATTGTTTAGGAAGGAGACTGGAAAACATAGTATTATTATTATTAGAAGCGGAAGACATTGAAGAAATAATGGGCAAGTTGTTTAATGAATCATCGAGTCTTGACAGAGTGCTATTATTATTATTTTGTAAATTTGTTGGAGGTGGTAGAGTAATTCTGATATTGTTAGAGACATCTTTTTGGGAGGATGGTTCCATGATTTGTTGTTAGGTTAGCTATATAATTAGGTTTGTTTCTAAAAAAAAAATGAAATAGCGAAGCGCGAGACTTTATATTTGTCAAATAAAATTTAAACTTGACTTATGTGATTCGAGGGATTATAAATAGTATATAATTTTATATTTAATAAAGAAACAATATTAAAAAAGCAGATCTATGCACATTCATCATATTCATTCATAAAAATTGTGCAGTATGAATGAATGAATGAATAATCGGGAATCTAGTATTAGTATTAGTATTAGTAAGATTTAGCAAAGATAAACCAGTTTAGTCAAACAAAAAAATGTCACGCATGATTAAGTAGTAATAGTTTTGTTCTTTGTCTCTTGTTTATTAGTATCATGCTTAAATTGATTGATCGGAAGCGGGTTTCTATTCGATAAAATTATATATTGCTAATCCAATCCAATTAAAGTTTTTTTATTATTAATCTATTTTTCCATAGTCCTTGTGTATATATATATATATATAGTGGTAATAATAATAAATGGTAGTAGCTGACATTTTTCTTTTCGTTTCTTAAGTCATGGTATTGGTAACCATGGTAGTAGTAATATAGATTATAAATATAATTATTGTAATTTGTTAAAGAAATAAGACCTATATTTTATAAAACGAATAAAACGAACAATTCGAATAAAACGAGTAAAACGAATAAAAACGAATAAAGCGAATAAACGAATAAAACGAATAAAACGAATAAAACGAATAGTAGTAATGGTAATAGTAACAATAGTAATGGTAATATAATAATTCGAGTAAAATGAACCTGAATCACAAAAATAAGATTGGTCTATCAAAATTCGGGTTTATGATGATTTACAATTTTGCTTTGGTAAAAAAAGACCGTTATAGATAGTTAACCTAAACTTAATAACTCCAAGTTATTAATAGTTAATAACCACTTATTAACTGTTGCATTCTGGAGTGAGAGTTAGTTATTAATCCGAAAGATCCATTTTGCCAATCAATCACCAGTGTATTAGTATTAGTATTAGTCAGTATGCGGAATGTGCGTGCTAACCAATTTATCCAAATCTGTCAAATTTGGTTAGAGCGCACATTCCGCATACTGACTGAATTTTATGTACTGTCATCACTTATTAAACTAAATTATTAATTATTTGACTTGTTTATCAAATCAATATTTGATTAAACATAGATAGATTCAATGATTATTTTTTTTATATGAAAAATTTTTTTTTTATAATTTTTGCTAGCCATAAAAGATCTGCAAGTTTGTGTTTTTAAACACTCAATTCGTAGATCATTTATCAACCAGGGAATTTTATTTATAACTATATATAGAAAAGAAAGCCATGTATTTAATCAATATTGAGAGGGTTTTTGACATTTATATATAAAATGATGTATATTGATCAAATTTCTGGATATTATTATTATTATGTTTCTATAGTGCCAATCATCACAAAATGTTGCCAATCTTTAAATGATTCAATATGGGCTATTTTACCAAAAACTCTATTTTTGCAATCTTCTAAACATGAAAAATAATATAATAAAATGTTTTTTTTCAGTTATTTAGTAAAAAAAAAAGTTATAACAGTTTAAAGTTGGGTAACTTTACTATTACTATGCTATTTGAAATTTCGGCAACTATGCCTAAATTGTAATTTATCATGATATACTGATTATCCACGTGACAAATTCGCAGTTCTCTTACAAATTTGGATTTATTATATTGAGTTCTTTATAAAGCAAGATCGGTATAAAAGTAGCGCAGCACGTGATGTCATTAGATGATTTACAACATACTCATTTTGAGTTGAAATACTAATTTCTAAAAAGAAAAATGCTAAGAGAACATTATCAAATACTTGTTAGGATTTAGAATAGAACTGTTATTTTGAAAAAGTAAACTAAAAATTTATTTATAAAAAATTCCTTGGTTGGTTGGGTTGGTTGGTGAATCAATAAAAAATTTTGATCAACATACATTATACAAAAAACCCTGTTCTCATTATTGACTACATACATAGCTTTCTTTTTATTGAGTATAATAAAATACTATTTTTATTTGATTTTCATTTTTTCTATAAGTAAAATGTAATGAAATATAAATTTTATATGATGTAGTACATGAATATTTTGGGCTCAATCATAACTATAATGAGTAGTAGCATCAATACTGTAATATGGTGTTTTACCCTTTGAATACTTTGATCAACTAATTTCTTTGTTCTTCTGCCAATTCAGTGTTATTTCTTTCTACTTTGGCCTTGGACAGATGTTTTTTAAATCTCTTGCATAATTCTTTAATTTCTTCTTCTTGGCAAGCATTATAATGTAAACTATTTTCTAAAATGTTGACGAATCAGTCCTGGGACTCATAATTTGAAACTCTGGTGTCAATTGATGTCATAATTTTCTGGATGCATCATAATTTTAAAGATTTCAATTTGCTATCTTCTTCTATATCAGCTAGAAAATCTCTGTGAACTGATTTATAACTCATTTCAGCTGGTAAGAATACAATTGATTGGGTTATTCTATTGTTCCTTCCTGGACTTGGTAATCCATGGACTTTGGCATAATTTTCTAGAAAATTCTTCACTACTTCTGCAACATTTTTATCAATCACCATTTTGGTTCCATTGAGGCATCCTTTTAATATTACCATGAATTCTTGGCAGAAGACCATTGTTTATTAGATGATTTCAAAATAAGCCCTACCAATTCCTAACATATTGAAATAGGTTTTTTGCAAAGTAGTGTATTATGATCTCAATGATAAAAGGCCCTTTTGTTAGATCTGGTTTTCTTTTTAAAGCATCTACTAACTAGTACTTATTGATCCACCATCCATTGACTTAAGTTGGGCCATTAAAAATATGTCTTGTCCAAACTTGGAAAGAGTTTGAAAGGATTCCCTTAGCTCTGCATAATCTTCCTCGGAAATTCTTTGAAGAGCAACCACATTTATGATCTTTTTCTAAAAAATCAATTGCTTTTTGATATTCAGCAGAACCATTGTATTGGTTATTTCAATTATTACATTGCATATACACCTATCCCTATTAAGGTTTCTGGTCCAAACTATTTTGAAAAAAAAGTAGCCTTGACAATAGTTTGGGCTTCTCAATATTTTTTATAAGAATGAACATGAAAAAATTATATAAATCAACCTATTTTAATTTAAATAATTTAAAATAATTCACCCAATTCAACTATTAATAAAAAATAGTTTGGGCCTATAAAAATTAATTTTTGTACAGAGCATTTTGGCAATTTTGGCTACTAAGAGAAATAAATTCAACCAAAGACCTTAATCCCTATATATATATATAATTTTATTTTATTTTTTACAAATAAATTTATCTATTAAAGTTATAAATTGGTTGGAATTAAAAGAAGATCTAGGAAAGGTAATTTGAGTACAACTGATTAGAAACAATAACCAAAAACCCATAATGAAATCATGGCAAAATGACATTATTTATTCTAACACTTTAATTGAAAAAATATTTTTATTTTATTTTTAATATATGCTGGAATGAAACCAGAACATCATATATTACTCAGATATTCTTTAATTTTACATTGCTAATTTAACAATGTATTATTAATGAAAATAGTTTTTTGGAATTTAAAAAAGATTCTAATCTTTAAAGATACTCTTTGTTGGAATAGATAAAGCCTACTGTTCCACTTTTTGGAGTGTTCTAGACATCTTCTCAATATCCTTTTCTTCATTGTCCTTATCTGTTGTTGTAATTCTCTGACACTGAAAATCATCAAAAATTTCTTCTGGAACCACAAAATAAAGTTTAATTGTTTCTAATGTGGATGGCATATGCTTCTGCTTAATAGGGTGAGGTGATCTTTTGATAGAGTTATCTGAAATAAACAAAAACAGTCAAATCATATAAGACTCAAAATGAAGTCACACAGGGATTAATATATGTTTTTAAGATGTTGAAACTCAAACTTTCATTTCTATGATACTGGAAGCCCATTGTATGCTGCCTCTTTCATATTCAGGTAATTTTGTTTCATAATGAATTAAACAGTTGGAAATTTTTATAGTCACCATCTTTTATTTTTTTAAAAAAATGCAATGAAATTTTGAAATTTCATGCAATTTCCATATGTTTGTGTTCCACAAAATATTTATTTTTTATTTTTTTTTTAAAAATAATGTGGGAATTATTTGAGCCTCATTTTCCATCTATCAAAGATATTGCTGAAGATTTGTCAGATGAAATCAAATATCAAAACTTGAAACATTCAATAAAAGATGCTGGCTCGTTGATTGATAAATTTGCAGCAAAGGCAAAGGTTGATCCACTTGGTCATGATTTTGCAAATTACTTGGATGAACATGATCAATTGAAAAAGCTTAGAGATGAATTTTCTATCCCGAAAGCTGGAAACGTAGCAGTTGGTAATTAATCAATTTCTAATTGATAATATATAATAATTATAATTATAATCAAATTATAATTATGATTGACCATTTAGACGCAATAAGCCCTGATGAAGATTCAGTGTATTTTTGCGGCCATTCACTTGGATTAATGCCAAAATGTACAAAAGAACTTGTAAACCAAGAGCTTGACGCATGGGCTTCTTCGTAGATATCTTTTTTCTTTTCCTTTTTTATCTTTTTTTGGAAATTTTCATAATGTTGAAAATTATTTAATATATTAGAGGAGTGACTGGTCATTTCCGACATAAATATAATCGACCATGGGTTTCAATAGCAGAAACTGTTACAGAAAAAACTGCAGAATTAGTTGGTAAATACATGGTTAAAGATGAGATTATAATCAAAAGGATGTTTGTCATATGATTTGAAAGTATCTATTGAAACTTTTATGATTATTATAGGAGCCAAACCAATTGAGATTGCTATAATGAGCACACTTACATCAAATCTTCATTTACTTATGGCATCATTTTATACTCCCACAAAAACACGTTTTAAAATTATGATTGAAGATAAAACATTTCCATCAGATCAGGTAAACAGTAAAGCTTTTTAATATGTGTGTGTGTGTATATATATATCTATATCTATTTATATTATAGTAATATTTTTTTATTCATAAAATATACAAGTATGCAGTGGAATCTCAGATAAGATTTCATGGATATGATCCAGCCACGGCGTTAATTAAAGTATCACCTCCAACTGGTGAATATTTTCCAAGCCTTGATGAAATTTTAAAAACGATTGAACAAGAAGGTGATAGTATTGCTTTAGTAATGTTTGGCGGAGTTCAATATTACACAGGTCAATTTTTTAAAATTAAAAAAATCACACAAGTTGCCCAAAGAAAGGTTAGCATGACGATTATTATTTGATTGGATTGGATTTGATATAAAACTTTTTATTTTTTTTCCAAGGGATGTATAGTGGGATTTGATCTTGCACATGCTGTTGGAAATGTTGTTCTAAAACTTCATAAATGGAAAGTTGATTTTGCAAGCTGGTCTACATATAAATATATGAATTCAGGTCCAGGTGGAATTAGTTCCATTTTCGTTCACGAGAAACATGCTTATGATTTCGATCGACCTAGGTGTTTATTTATTTATTATCATGAGAATTAATTAATTGATTATTATCGAAAGGTGTAAAAATGAATATTTTTTATAATAGATTTGCAGGATGGTGGGGTACTGATCTGACATCAAGATTTCAAATGGATAAACGTATGGGTTTTTTTTATTGTGTAGAGGAAAAAATTATTTTTAAAACAAAACTGAATTTTAATATATATACATATATACGTATATATGTAAATTTAGCATTTGAACCAATTCCTGGTGCTGGTGGATTTCAAGTTTCAAATCCTTCAGTCTTGAACGTAGTTTCATTACTTGGCAGCTTGGAAGTTTTTTCAAAAACGAGTATGGTGCAACTTCGTACCAAATCTATTTTACTCACAGGATATCTAGAATATCTTTTGGATAAACAACTTGATGAAATTGGATGCAAAATAATTACACCACGTGATCCTCATCAGAGAGGTTGTCAATTATCACTTATTTTTGATTCAGAAAGAGTACGTTCTATTCATAAAGAGTTAATGACTTATGGAATAGTGGTTGATATAAGAGAACCAAATTGTCTTAGAGTTGCTCCTGCACCTTTGTATAATACTTTTTCTGAAGTCTGGAAATTTGTAAAAGCTTTAAAAATGGCTGTTAATGATTTAGCAGTTAAGGATGATGGTGAAGTTGTTTCTCTTTAATAATAACGAAATGAATGTTTTAAAATATGTAATAAATTTTTTAGTACAAGATATATAATGTTATTGGGAGTTATTATTATGTATTGTTTATGGAACATTCTACATTCTAGTATTTTAGCTTAGAACATTGTTGAACTTGATAGGTAGATAGGTGCCTTATCTCTTTGTTTCCCTTGAACTTTTGATGATTTCTTTTTGCAACATGATGCTGTTGCTGCATTTTGATATAACATGAGCTGGATTGGATTCGTAAATGGACTTCTTCATTGGGTTAATTTTATGTGATAAAATGGCTCTTATGGAAATAAAATTTGTTGTATGTTCGAATATGAACAACAACACGAAAATAATTTTCCCTTCTTCATATAGCTATGGAACCAATGCTTTGCTACTTTTATTTTGCCGTAAATGTTGGTTTATTTTTATTTAGGATTCTTTGGATATAGAATAATTGATTGAACAATCATTTCTTTTTGTTGGCTTGATGTATGTGAGGTTGTTTTACAAAGATGTGAGATTTTTAAATGATATGTAAAACATTATTAAAGGTGAAGCTCTTCACATACCTCTTGCATAGTAGAATCATTTTATTACGATTAAAATAAGGAAAATAGTTGGTAGAAATTTTTGTCACGGCTGATTACTTAGGTTGTTATCAAATTTTCAAAATCATTTCAAGTCGGCGTAGCAAAAAATGATCCCCCAATAATTCATAATATTCGTGATTTGATATTACCGTAACTGCATTGAATCTACTGTTTCAAGCCTTTACAACAAATTTGGATATATAAAAAGAAAAAAAAAAATTACACAAGATATAAAAACCTACGAAGGAACCGTGACACAGCAGCCTTTCTTTCTTTTTATGTTAAGGAAAGTTATTCTCAAAAAAAAAAAAAATCTACTCTCTAGATATAATTTATCATGAAATGCATAATAATGCGGCAGTTAATTCTGATAGAGAAAGTAGAAAAGAATTTTTTTTTTCATTGGTCAAAAAAAACAAGGAGCTTATTGTAAGGAAAGGTTTACATATGAGTTTGAATTAGATAAGGCAAGAGATAAATTTGGCAAACTTAAAAAAACATACTTAATTTTGTTCATTATTAAAAAAGGTATGTTTTAAGTAGTGTTCCATGTCGCAATCCAAAAAAGGAAACCAAAGTGGTTGCAAAGGTGGTTGCAACCAGGTGTCGCAAACCAT